GTGGAAACCAACCGGAACAAACCCCCGCCAGCACCCCCCCCCCCCCCCCCCCCCCCCCCCCCCCCCTGCTTAATTCATGCTCTACCTCCTCCTCCTCCCTCCTCTCCTCATTTCCTGGCTTTCTCATGCTCGTTTATCACAGTGGGAACTTAACACCTCAGTACACCTGCACAGACACACACTAACACATTCACTGCATGCAAGAAATCCCAACCTGACCGACCACACATAGACCTGTTGGCGGGTACAGATACAATCAGGAATAAAGGGCACGTTAAAGCACAGTTACAGTTACGTAACAGTAACAAGACCCCATACACAATATGGCATAGCCACAGGCGTTCATGAGAAAGATGCAGGTATGTGGCTTTATTTACATATAGATATGGTTTTGCTGTAATATTTTTCTGGAAAAAGAACGTGATTTGGTTTAATTATCTATTCGATGAGACTTTTATACATATTTTTTGTGTGTTTGCATGTGTGCATGTTATGCTTTCTTCCTTCTCTTTTCATTTCAGACATTTGTTGTGCTTTGTTTTGTAACAGTTTGCAGCACAGTTGTGCTGAGGCTTTGCAATAAATTAATGAAAGACAGTCCGGGATGTCAGGTCTGTAACAATGGTTCCAACAGACTCACAGGACAGAAAACAGGGTTCGGTGCACAGGAATTCAGTCCAGAACCAGACACAGGTATCCAGAATCGCTACAGGCAGAAGGCGGAGTCTAAACAGATGCAAGGTTTAAATCACACCAGGACGTGACGGGGAACAGAAGGCCGGAACGTGAAGTGTGGATATCTGAGACGAATGGGAGCGCGCCGAGTAAATGCACAATGTAAGGGGAGGGGGGACGACGAGGGACAGGTGAAAACAATCACACAGGCGGGAAACACACAAGGGCAGGAATTGAAGTACCTGAGACGAGAAACAAAGGTGAGCACACCAAAATAAAACTGGGAAAGCATAACCTCAGAGGAGAGCGGGTCATGACGAGGTCTGGCAGACTTTTAAACTAACTACATCCCCCGGTCACGGGAACCAATGCTGCTGTATGAGCTCTACTTATTTTTCCTTTGCCCAAGAAAGGATGGTTCGTAGCTTTTTTCACTGGGCAGCAAGGCGTAAATGGGGTCGCGAGTCATCATAGTACACAAGATTCCTGATAACACAGAAAATACACATATTTCACATTTAGCTCATGAATGATGTTTGGTGCAAAAGCCGTTTTTTCATTTCTCTGGTAAAATAGGATGATTCTCAAAGGCTTTCTTCCTCTTGTTCCATATTGTGCTGCATGCTTTATGCCGCACAGCTCATATGCATGAGCGCTCTATACATTTACTGTAAGAACACTGCATACACGATGTTCTTCTATCCCCCTCCATCTCTCCGTCGCTCACTCTGTGATGTCAGGCGGACGGCGAGCCCCTCGTACACGAGTCAGAGACATCCATTTCCTGTCACTTTATGAGGTGTTTATAAATTATGAAACAGGGACCTGGAATGAACATAAGTATAAGATGGGCAGAGGGAGATAAGAGGACTCATTCACTTTAGTCCTGTGTGTGCGCGCGTGAGCGAGTGTGTGCACATCTGTGGCATGTGAGCCTGTGCATGTGTGCATGCACTGACATTGTGCTGACATTGTGTTAACTTGGCGTACTGCTCCCACAGCTGTGCTTGTTTGGTGGCTTGGGAATATCCTAGAATTTGTCTATTTATTCATTCAATTACAAGTGTGTGTGTGTGTGTGTGTGTTTGTCTGTGTGTGTAAATGAGACTGTGTGTTCAATAAAGCCTTATACCTGCACCATCTGGCCCTGTAATAGCCTTCTCTGCCCCCCAGAATGAGATGGTTGCATCTCACACACACACACACACACACACACGCTCCTACCAGAGGCAATGCATATTTTTATTGGTAATTGAAAACAAAGTGTTCCAGCCCCTATGCAGACAATTTCCAAAAGGTTCAAAGTCAAATAATTGACAGTGTAATATGTGTCAAGTCATGATGAAGCATCAGAATTACATTTGACGCCATACAGGCGATAGGCAACTCACCCCTTCCCCCCATCTTGAAGTGATAATCATATATTTGTTTATTGTCTTAAAAAGAGCTAGATGTGAGGATTCATATCCTTTTCATGTCAGCATGTTCAGTAGCAAGTAAAGCTGTCCTTAGAAGAGGAAGTTTTTTTGGGCTTTCTGCCTTTATCTGAAAGTGCAGCTGAAGGGAGACAGGAAAGGGGGGGGGGGGCAACTTGCAGCAAAGGGCCACAGATCGCCTTCGAACTTGGGGCACTGCAGTAAGGACTCAGCCTTGGTACATGGAGTGCCCGCTCTACCAGGCGAGCTACCAGGGCACCTCAACTAAAGAAATTCTTACTCAAAACTCATGAGATTTTGTCAACTAATCCATTTGTTTATTTTATTGTCCGATGTGTAAAGAATTTCTCCTCAAAGAATCACACAAAAGCACCACTTTAGATCTTGTGTTTCCCAGAGATGTGTTCATAGGTTTCTTGGAAATAAGTCATTCAGCATGTCAAAAGCAAATCGGCGAAAGAAATCTTAGTTAACTAAGACACAAAAGGAAATAGATAGTTGAGTAATCGACAAAGCGGGGGCAGCTAAATTGGTCCAAGACATCGCTTGGCACAAAGAGGAGAAGCAGGAGAAAACAGCCATGCAGCCAAAAAGGGAAAAAACACCCTCAAACATCCCCAACGGTAGCCAGCTGGCCACCAAAACACCAAAGACTCACCTGCATGTGATCACTGGGTCCAGCTGTCAGTAAATAGCTCCGATGCTTGAACTGTCTGCTCGTTAAACCACTAGTCCCATCCCAACTACAAAATGTTCATTATCCTGGAGACAAGTCCAATCATGCATTTGGGGTTTTTGGTTTTCTGGGATGGTAGCCCCGTCGTAGCGGACACAGTGCCATTAAAAACACGATACTGCCACCAAGCAACCTATAACTCCTGCAGTACAAAGACCAGTGTTGCCACATCAGATTGACCATTTTCAGCCCAATCACAGCTTAAAACCCGACCAATTCAATAATTTCCTAAATCAAATAACCACAGATAAAATGTTAGAAGAATAGGCCATCAACGCTCACAAATAGGTCCAAATGCTTTTTTTTCTCTCCGCCCAACTTGAAGGCGGAACCCAGCCCCATCAGGCAGCACTGATACAGACGGCCGTGTGTCAATAAATAGCTGCTAAAAACAGCTTTGTTTAGAGACATTTTGCCGGTTTACATGGATGTGGCTGGAACTCCTGGTTGGAGACAAGTGATTTGACCTCTGACAGAAAAAGCCACCTTTTAAAAATCCTATTGTGGCTTCTCGGCTTCATTTGAGATTCCACAGGGAAGACAACAAGCTGGAGAGAGATAGAGGACGACGTGCAGCCAAGGTCAAGGCCCAGGCTCCAATCTACACACACACACACACACACACACACACACCAATGTTGCAACCTTAAACTTCTTGCCCGGGTGATGCACCACCAAGATGCCCCACAGACACATCCACCTGTCCCCGTGCCCTCATAAACATGCTGCGATAAACGATGCTTTAACTGCTCAGCAATTAAAGTAAACTCAAATGAGAAAGGGCCACTTTACCTCTTTAAATTGATCTCATCCATCTTATCTTATTTATCTGTCTGCCTCAATTATCCCTGCCCCGCTTACCCCCTTGACTTAGGTTGAGGTTTCGATTTTTCAAGATCAACGTACAGCCACGACACTTGAGGATTGCAAATCAGATGGCCTCAAGAACCAGAGAGCTGGTCCAGGACTGTAGTCCGGGTATATGAAGCTACAGACAGTCTAGTGTAGTGGGACATGTCGCAAAGTGTGATTTAACAGGGCAGTTTCGGGGGGTTACTTAAATAATTAAAAGATGCAAAATAACCACATTCTTTCTGACTGGTGGAGTCGACAATTGGACTTTTAAGGAAGTCAAAAAATGTCACTGATGCAGCAGGAACGAGCGACGACCAGCACACCTGGGATGAAAGTTGTCAAAAAGTCGTCAATAGAGTTTATGGGAAAAATCCAACTTCTCTCCAAAATACAATCGAATGAAAGATTTTTCCACAACACTGTTACTCTCAATATTCTCACCGGTCACTGTGCATGTCGGTCAGCGTGTCCTGGATTCTTAGGGCGAGAAGTAGGACTTAAATGAGGAAGTAATTTGGGAGCGTTTGCTTGAATCGACAGGTCTCTCTGGTTGCCAAATGCACACCAGATCCCAGCACCAGCCTATAGGCCACGCCGCGCTGCCTGTATCTGTGTTTTCTGGCTCGCGAACGACAAGACAAACAAGATGGCTTCAAAAGAGCAAATTGTGTGCATGAGTGTGCAAAGAGTCCCGGCAACAGTGTGCAGATCCAGGTGACTTGTTAGCCTTCAGCTCTAAATGCAGTGTGAAGACAACAAGAGCAGATCAATAAATATTCTGTCGTTGTATTTTTATGATGCAGAGGAAAGGAAGGGTGTAGGGAATGGACAGATTCTCAAGAACTGAGTTTTAAGGGATTATGGGATGCTGTCACACACACACGCACGCACACACACACACACACACACACACACACACACACACACACACACAC